ACTGCTTATTCCGTCACATTTCCTGTTATTCAGAGGAATGAAAGTCATAGAGAACAGAGCAACAAAAGATGAAGAGAAAATGGAGATCCAGGAGATGCAGCTGAAGGAAGCCAAACACATCGCTGAGGAGGCTGACCGCAAATATGAAGAGGTGTTGTATTGCTGTTTTTTTCATGGTTATTGCATGATGTCACAGTTGGAGAAACAACAACAACAACAACTAATACTCTACACAAATTCTAAGTAGGTTCTCAGTAGGTTACCTTAAAAAAGAAAAATGATTATACGGCAAAAAGTTGACAAAAAGTTTTGTCAAAAGATCAAGGAACTGACCTAACAGCCCACTGTTCATTCAGTGGTGCTTTTTTCAGTAATCTTGCAAAGCTAAGGTTGGGGAAACCTGCAGTTAGCTGAGACTGAAGAAGTCACTTGGATGAGTGACGAAACGTTTCTTCCACTGAAACGCAACGTCCAGATGAACAGAGTCAACTTTTTAGGAATTCCTTACCTGGATGATTGAGCATGTATGAAGATAAAATGATTATAGATTTCCAAGTTCTAATTCAGTGATCCAGTGTTTTACACAACTTGCCTTGTTCACCCATTCATACAAGCACTTCTTTCTATGTAAGTGCTTTCTATCTAACATGCACACACATTCTTAAATTATTGAGTACGCCAAAGGATATTTGGCATGCAGACTGGAGGGATTGAACCACCAACCTTCCAATTAGCAGATGACCTGCTCTGCCATGTGAGCTACATCTACCCCAAAGGCTTACTGACATTATATTAAACCCTATGTATTAAGAATGGGATGTTGGTTTGTATGCATTTGAAGGAAGATGAGCAAATACTTTTTTACAGCACTATAATGACTTGACTGAACATAGTGCAGACTCACAGTATATAATTGGTCAGTAATAGGGTCAACAAAGATAAATACCAGAAGTTCACATAAATACAATATTTTTACTAAGCAAAATGAGTTAACAGACTTGTTATGTTATTTGGGATGACTTAAGTGTGTGAATATCTGCAGGTTGCACGCAAACTGGTGATCCTGGAGGGTGAATTGGAGCGCTCAGAGGAGCGTGCTGAAGTAGCTGAGGCGTAAGTCAATACCTGCACTCCAAAAACACTAGCAAGTGTCACTTACATACATACATGTTGTCATGGTAGAGATCATGTGACTCCTACCATCACAAAATAATCTTGCTCATTTGTTGTTTTAAATAATATAATTCATACCCGTATGTCTAGATTAAATAGTAGTGGGATCTCTAAGTGTTGCATGTCATAAGAATTCTCTTAACAACTGCGACTAATGATCACTGCTGTTTAATCTACTTATTCTGTTTTTATCTCTGCTTAAATTGCAAAGCCATGATTTGCAATTATTTGTGAAGATTTAACTTATTTTGGAATTTTAGCTCTATAAGTGATCTAAATTACAAATATTATTGTAATTGTTTAATTTTCTTGTGATGCACGACTTGAATGCTTACTTAACAATTTCATCACAAATGCAAAGTGTTATTGTGTGCTGTCATCAAGTAGGACACAGAGACGTGAGGTTGTACTATGAAGCAAACGTAATGGCTGCAGGCTTATTAAGCTGGCTCTTTTTTTAACCTGGCTACATCATCATGGCAGCTTATGCTGTATACTTAAACCTCATCCAGAGGAGGTCATAGTCAGAGCTTTAAATTAATATCAGTTTAAGCACCCTGTTTTCTTAGAATAATTCAGATTTTTAACTGTGGGATTATGTAATGTACACAAACCTGTTAGATTGGGATTTTAGAGCCGTAGAGCCAGCTAATGCAAAGATAGTCCTGCCTACATAGTATACCTCTCTGGCTGTGTGTTGTTCTTTCTTTCTGTGTTTTTGTGAATGAATGCATGTTTGCACAACCACTGTCTCTTTGGCAACCACTGATCCTCCTCACCCCCAAACATTTTGGACTAACTCGTGCAGGAGAATGAGGGAGCTGGAGGAGGAGCTCAAACTAATGGACCAAAATTTCAAGTCCATGATGTGCTCAGAAGAAGAGGTACTTACTGTATGAACACCACTGAGGTCTAATTGTGACCTGCTGTCTTGTGCTCCTTTGACCTGCAGCCTCTTTACTTTTCCATCTATGTTTTCTACATTTCCCTTTTATACTGCACTTAAGTACTGCTGATATTCTACTTTTTTTCTTTAAAATTAATAAGACCAGCAAGAATCCATCCATCCATCTATACAGTGGTACTTAAAGTATATTTTTTTTATATTTCAGAATAAAAATAAACACAATTATATAAATAACACTGAAATTGTGTTCCCTCACATCAGTGTATTGTTTGTCATCTATTAATATTTCTTTAAGGAAATTAGTCAAGTGTTTTAAAATGAAAAAATACATTTATTTTATTGAATTAAAATATTTGTTAGTAGAGACAGTAGCCTTATGGCCTTGTCACTCATTGGGTAATAAAGACAAAGCACCGAGAGACGGATGAAGATATTATTGGTATCTGTCTGTTAGTAGGTTTATAGGCACATTAAAAAGTAGATTTTTTATATTTTTAAATTTCTCTTTCTTTATTCTACGCAGTTAGGGACTTTATATACATTGCATCCATGCTTGCGACCAATTTAGATTCACCAGTTAAGCTAACGTGCATGTCTTTGAGCTGTGGAAGGAATACCTGGAAGAAACTGATCAAAGACCATGCACGCTCCCTCCAAAAACAGATTCTAACCAAGAGCCTGGCGGTTTTTGTTATAAGTCATGTAGTCTTTTATTAGTCAATGTCTGAGTTTAGTCTCTTCTGCTATTCTACCTTTCAAGTCACTACTTTCTCTTCTTTTGCTTTTCATCTTTCTTACATTGGTCAGTAAATCAGGTGACCTTGAGGAAGAGCTGAAAAATGTCACCAACAACTTGAAGTCACTGGAAGCACAGGCTGAAAAGGTACAGTAGGAGCTGAGGGGTATTTAGCCTGAAGAGTGGCCAGTCAGATTGTATATATATGAAATATAACCCGTAAAAATACTGTAAAATACCTGTAAAAATATAACCTGTAAAAAAGAGGGACCAGTCACTCGGCCTCACCTCAAACAAATCTAAAGACATCAATAGAAACCCTATATCCATTCAACAAAACGCATTTATAATTTGCTATGAGGATACAGACACATAAACAGTCCATAAATAAATGAAACTTTGTTTCAAGTTCAGCGGCATACAGCAAAATTGACTTAAATGACATGATGGAAATTGTCATGATGATAATTATTTGATTTGTGTCCATTTCCATTTTTAGTTTTAAATTTAAGGTTAAACTAAATATGTTTCCACATTTCCAGCATCTTTTTAATTGAAACACACCACTGAAAATTAGAATCAGCTATAATTTTATCCACATGGTTAAAAGTTAGAGATAAAGCCTGGGAAAACAGATGGAAAATACTTACATAAGGTACTCAGGCCAACTGCACTCATGAAATGGAAATGTTGTTTAAACACACTTTGTGAAAGTTTGTATGTTATTTGTTTATATTTCAGTACTCTCAAAAGGAGGACAAATATGAAGAAGAAATAAAAGTTCTTACTGACAAACTGAAGGAGGTAAAGTTTTTCCAGTCTAGTTTTATTATTATTATTTTTGTTGTATACTTAGACTAATTATGATTTATGGAGTAAGCTGATGCTTTGCTGTGGTTTGGATTCCAGGCTGAGACCCGTGCAGAGTTTGCTGAGAGGTCTGTGGCCAAGCTGGAGAAGACCATTGATGATTTAGAAGGTAGTCCACACACACCTCTTATCTCTGCCAGTACTTCCACTAACATGTCTGCTCAGTGTCCCTCAGTGAACATTAAAATCACACACAGTTTCACTTATGGGGTGTTGTAACTGAACTGGCACTTTGTTGGACAGCTGTTCTCTGCAGTTACAATTTCCTGAATAAAGCCAATGATAAGTGGAAGGACCAAATTCCTCTAATCCAGTTATGGTGTCTTTGCTTAATTTTAATACTTAGAGTTAATGCACTTGGCCGTCATTCTGCATGTTCTTACCTACAACATTTATAGTAATACAGCAACTATGAGAAATGCCACTAAGACAAAAAGCAAGAATATTTTTTATTTTATGACACCTTAATAGAAATGGACTTCATATATAGTTCTTTCCTAGTTTTAGGGACTAAAAGCCCTATTTAGGCAAACATATACAATACTTTATTGTAGAAACAATACACTTTATTTCTCAGAATTCTGAGTTTAATCTGAATTTTGGAGATGTCCCCACTGTTTTTTCTCTTTTCAGTGGCCCTACTCCTCTTTTGTAGGTTTAATAATCTTTCTTTCCCTTAATAATTTAAATCATCATTTAAAAGCTGAATATTTTATCTTTAGATGATGAGATAGCGTTTATTTGTTAGTTGCGGTTGCCCACAACCGAGATGACAGACCTTGCGGACCGTACATACAATAAACAAACATCACATTGGGGAGACAGGTCAGGCTAGGTAGCAAAAGGAAAAACAGTGAAATGTGTAACGCAAAAGGGTAATCCAGGAGAAAAAGAATACACAGATATCATCACACCCAGGTATTTACCCAGGTTGACTTTTTTTCTTGCATCTTTCACACACTTACATGTTTCAGACCAAACAAACAAATACTTTTTCATAGCACAATATGCCACAATGAAGGTAGTTAGCTAGCAAAATGACTAGTTGTAAAACTTGATGTTGCTGCTATATTAATTAATTTTTTTTCCTTTTGGGCATTTTTGCCTTTATGCCATTCATGGTGGTATGCACCCACACCTAAACATTCAGATATCGGTTTGACGGTTTCCTAAGATTTCTCTTACCCTAATAGTGATAGAAAAACATATCCACACATCTTTGTGGATCTAGAAACAGATAACAGTGTGTTTGTCAATATTTGTCTTTGTACATAAACACAACAGTGAAAACATTGTTGTTGAATGATGTAGACTTTTAACATGGTGTTTTGTGGTTGTAGTTCTGATATGTGAATTCATTCATTATTTTCATAACAGTTGTTGAATGAAAATAGTTTGATCTTGGTTTGAAGTGCTTACATTGATACTTATCCTGGTGTCTGTGGTATCAAGGCTAAATTGTACCAACCAATAATTCCAGTTATTTGTTCAATTTGTATCTTTTCCTTACTAATCAAAGTCAGGGATGTTGGCATTTGCTTGACTAAGCTCAGGTTTGGCTGTCTGTTGTCTTGGTGAGCTGAAGTAACAAGCTGATGTGATGGCATTAACACTTGTGAATCGGTATGAAGATTTACAGTTTAAACTATTTTCTTTTCTTTTTCCTGTCTTCCTACCTCTATCCGATCTCTGTCTCTCTATGTGATTAATTGTTTCCGTGTCTCAATGTCCTCCTTTAGATGAAGTATATGCTCAGAAGCTGAAGGGCAAGGCTCTCAGTGAGGAGCTGGACCTGGCCCTCAACGATATGACTACACTGTAGAAGTTGTCTTACTTCTTCGCTGCCCCTCTTTCCTGTCTGAACTCTACTGCCTGTTTGCTGTTCTTTTTCTCCACTCCACAGTGCTACTGTGTGGTAAAAGAGTAAGCTATTTCACAGGACTGGTCTTTTTTAAAGAAGAAGGTTGAGCTACTATGTTGCTGTCTTCTCTTTAGCAAAATATTAGTTAAGCAATTCTGTTTTCTCTTTCCCCTGTAATAAAGCTGTCTTCACTTCACAACTTTCTCTCAGTTTTCCTTGTCACTCTCGTAATTCGTCAGTTTGTCAGTTTGTAATTGTGTGTGTATTTTACCCAGTCATGGGATGGCCACGTCAGTGAATTCCTAGTGCTTCTCCCAAGCACTAAATGGGGATGGTTCCATCAGGAAGGGCATACATCATAAAACTTTGGCCAAATCAAATATGTGGATCATCAGTCCTCATTAACACTGACTGCTTCCTCTGCACTTGGCCAACGGTTTGCTGGTGGAATTTGTAAATGCTAAATGTAATGTGATTGATAGTACTTTTCTACTCTCCCGGAGCATTCGAAGTGCTTTAAACAACACGCCACATTCACCCAAGCACTCTCTGTTTTCTATGCTTTCAAGTGCTTTCTATGGATGGGGCATTTCTATCAATGGATGCATCGGTATCTTGCCCAAGAATATTTGGCATGCAGGCTGGGAGAGCCAGAGTTCAAACCACCAACCTTCAGATCAGCAGATGACCTGCTTTACCCCCTGAGCTACAGCCACCCCTGTAATGAGAAGAAGAAGAGAGGGGAAAAGCATGTTAGGAAGCAGTGAGAAAGAAAGAAAGGCAGGAGTATGTGAGCTGGCTGATATGATGCAGAAAAGGAAGTTATGATGTGACAGGATGTGTAAAGAACCTGTTCACAGTTGTCCAATTCGTCTGCCTGCCTGCCCTATCAGTCCTGCTTATCGTTTCTTGCACTCTTGCTATGATCAACTGATTTCAGTTTGTGTGTCAGAGGAAAATAGTGATGTAGTTTACAGCATATGGACTGTTTTTTATAGAAGAAAGGATGGGAATACAATTGTAAAGTGGAGACTGCTCAGGGACAAAAACTTATACTGTTAACACAAGTTTGGCTCTTTGCAAGCACCTTCACAAACAGCATGCTAAGGCTAAGCTGGCCAAGAAACCAGAGTGACATTGAAGTTGAGTAAATGCTGAACCCAGAGTAACATGAAAGTAATGAGTAGTATATCATGTCTTTCTCCTGGGTGTAATTAAGCAAGGTACTGCATTACTTTTAAGAAACGTGTTCTGTGTGATATGCGTAATAACTTTTTTAGCAATACTGATCACAACAATCCAACATGCACAAATATTTGATCACGCAGCATATAATTAATTTGTATGGATGTAATGTCTTTGATATGCTGCTTAGAGATGGTGGTGACTCTCAAAGTGGAGCCAGTGAGCCGAGAGGCTGGATTATAGATGGCAGACAGTTGGTGTTGTAAGCCACCACCTCTGTTCAAAGATTGCCATTCACAGTGGACAAAGATGGCTTCTTTCACTCCTCTTTCAAACAATCTGTCTTCTCAGTCCAAGGTGGCTCTTCTATATTGTGCCTCTCCAATGTAGAGGTCTGAGCATTCCTCGCTGCACTGTACAGCATACAGGGTTTATCAGAGAAACTCAGGAGAGTCTTCTCCAAGCATAACATCCCAGTGTACTTCAGACCCAGGCATACACTCCGACAAAAACTGGTTCATCCCAAAGACAAAACTCCCAAACCGGCTACATAGGGGATGTTCCATTTGTGTTTCTGATTCTCCCTAGTTGGTGTCTGACATTCTTTTCTGTGCATCTTTGCTGATTTGATGAAAGCCCAATTAGGATAACCACATGTGTTTTAAGAGCTTTCTTTATATGTGTGTGTTCTTCTTTTTCCCTTCTGGCTTAGATAGAACGTCTTCTGCCCGGTGTTGTAGGGTATTGATTACTCCATTACTCCATCGATAATGGAATTGGAATTAGAGCAGGGCGATATGACCAAAAATATTTATCATGATATACATTTGAAAATTTGCGATAACAATATAACTGACGATATAATTGACACTAGACAAAATACTTTACAACTCCACAACTTTATTAGTGGAAAAACCCCCCAATGTATTTTCACTTAAACAAGCAGCTGTTTTTTATGTGGATTAAAGCTATATAAAAATGTAACAGTGCAAATGCAAATTCCTTGCTGACAGTTTAACCAAAAGGCATTTCCAGTGGAAATTGGCC